AGGCAGTTAAGTCAGAGCAGAGGTGATGTGGTGAGCAGCAGTGCAGGGTATGGGGGGCAATTAAACAGACTGGTGATATTAAAAAAAACATATTTGAAGCAGAGGCAGAGAAGAATATTAAAAGTGCAAGCACTTTTGTAGAAGATACATAATGCATTTAGTTGAATTGCATTCTCTTTCCTGGCCAGGCACAGATGAGGCTGCATGGACATTGTGCCACAACTTTGACTTGGAGCTGCTTTAAGGGGTGAAAGGAATAGTCTTATCAAATACATGAACACTGTCCACCAAGATCTATAGGGACATCACTAACTTCTTCCATATTACAACCAAGTAATTACAGATGAGGAGGATACTTCCACCTACTCCTATTTTTTAGCTTCAGGTGACTGTACACATATCAGTCATAGTGGCTGTCTGATAATTTCTTGGGTTTTTTCCTGCACTAGGTGCCTAGTTGGCAACCCCAGTGGAAGAAGCTTCGGAGATGTAGCTTTCCTGGAACACTCTAACCTACTCCAGAACATACAGAGTGAGATGCGGATATTCTCTTTTCCTTTGAGAATGTTCATTAGTGCCAGTTACTTCCCACACAGCAACTATCACTCCTGAGGATCAGCTTTTACAGGTTTAATCTGGGTTCATGAAGTTGTGTTTGCGACAGGAAAATTGCAAGAACCTTCCTGCATGCAGGTCTTCCAGTAAAGCTCAAAATTCAGACACTGTTCAGTTTTAGAGAGGAAAGAGGAAAAGTCACTGAGTGCAAAAATCAAGGTGTGTTTTGGGGGGTAAATCATCCTTGGAGACTGCACTAATTTTTGGGAAGCCCAAAGCTTCAAAAAAACAAGTGACTTTTCCCACCAGACTTTCTCCCACAGGCAACCATAGTGCATGTACACGTTTTTAATCAGAATTTGAAGAATGAAAATGGTAGATAAGAGCAGTGCCGTGGGCTCTTTGTGCTGGGAGATTTTCTGTGGCTTCCTTGTGACATGGCAACTTCCTCGTGTTGTTTCACAGACATTTGGGGAATAAACAGTCCAAATAGCTTAATAGGTAAAAATACTGCAAATTATTTTGTCTTTCACAGTTTCTGAAAAAAACATCGTTACTACACAGTGAAATGTTTAAATGCCTCTGGGAAATACTGATCTTTGCTACAGACTAGCAATTGGATTTTGTTGATGAAAATGGTTTTGGTTACAGTAGTTTAAATCCCTGCAATCTCTTAAATTATGCCCACTGCTCTAACAGCCAAAACATGCTGCCTTTTCCGAGCTGTGAAGTTAAAGGGAACTCACATTTGGTTCATCAGTGCTGATAAAGCACACTGAAATTCTAATTTAGGCAATTTCAGTAACAGAAGAGACTTTTCTAAGAGAGGAATCTCTCTAAAATCAAGTGGAGGTGTAAGGGCCGGGAAACCCACAGGAATTCATGCAGCAATGAGTGGTTTGTTTGGGGAAGCAAAGGACATGCCAGCTCAATTGCTTTGTTTTCCAAAAGTGGTCTGATTACTGATGAAGATGAGGCAGGATAAGCTGTTTGTGTGCCTTGATGTTACTCTAGTTTTTAGTTGACAGGTGCAGCTTAAGTTCAGTGTTGTGTCTCTTCAGAGAAAACACTACCCTGTTCCTAACAAACGACCAGGTAGCACGCCGCGATTCTTTTGAACATACTGACTAAACTTCTTCCTCTCAACGTTTAATATTTTGCATGAGATGCACCCTGTCTTCTGCTTTTGTTTTTAAAAAAGTATTCATTTTCACTTCATCTTCTTTTCAGATCTGGACAGCTCTGGTTGGGCAAAAGGTTATACCCCTGTTGACTTTGAACTCTTGTGTCCGGATGGCACGCGAGCTGCAGTCACAGAGTGGGCAGGCTGTAACCTTGGCCCCATTCCCCCCAGCGCCGTTATGACTCGACCAGTCACTGTCACTAAAATCTATGACTTTCTAATGAAATCCCAGGTAAAGCAGATAACAGGGAAAAAGTTAGCATGTTATCACTTGTTATGTGCAACTGCTGTAAACCCTTTCAAGATCAAAAGCTTTAGATACTAAATACATAAATTGCCTTTGGGTCCAATATGAGAGAATTAAGAATGTGCAGAAAAGACTGAGAAAATAATTACTTGCCTTCTCTGAAGGGGCATTTTGGCACCAGTTGCCATTCTGTAGTGGTTATAGTTTTGCTGAGAAATAAGCCGCTGCAAAACTGCATCTTTTTGTACAAATAAGGACAGTGATAGGTAAAAGTGGAACCTTTTTTCTGCTAGATGTTGCTATAAAACTGAGGGTCACCAGCTTAACCTACTATTTACGATCCAATCTTTGAAACTTATTTCTTCCCTGTTTAGGAATCTCTGGAAAGCAAACTGGATTCTGAATTCCATCTTTTTCAGTCATGGAAGTATGGGGAAAGTGATCTGCTTTTCAAAGATACTACTCAGTACCTTGTTCATGCCAGTCACTTGAGCTATCAGGAAATTCTTGGAGCGTCTTTCTTTCAACTGGCAGAATTGGTGTTTAATTGTACACCTGCAGGTAAAGTCAAGTTCTTAATTTTGAGATAGACAAAAATGCAAAGCAGGAAGCCTTCTGTGAATAGCCATTGCCCTTTTGTTGAAGTATGTTCTACATAATCTTGTTAGTAACAATTTTCCAAGGAGTATTGTGTTTGGAGCTCCTTTAGAACCTCCAAAAGCAGTGAATCTGGAGCTTTACAGGAACAGAAAAAGCAATACATTTTACAGCAAATATGAGGTTATTGAAATAGGACTCGTTTACTCCCACTGTGAAATATTTCCCTTCAATTCCAAAGATTGGTTCTGGGAAAAGGGAATCTAATGTTCATTTGGATATGCCAAACTGGGGAAAAATAGAAGAAATTTTATATTTAATTATTGAATTAACCTTGAAATAATTTAAATAATTTCCTTTTTAAAACGAGTGCACTAGAGAACTCAAGATCAAAATCTTTATAAACTTAAGAAATGGCTTTTTCATTATTTTTGACCGAAAGCCGTGTAATTGTATATAATTTATATTCTGCTGTTTTGGTGAATAGTATCTGAAGAATTTGTTATTTTTAAAGCTGATAGCATCTTTAAGTGTATACTTTCTTACTGGTTTGTAGGTATCTTAGATTTCTGCAAACAGGATATCTGTGCATCCTCATCGAACTGACAGCTAATACAGGGGCTTTGCAAGGTACATACATCACCATCAGTGTTGAAAACAAGGAAATGTGCAAGTCCAAGCTCTCCAAACAATCAGTGAGGAAACAATCATCTCTAGAAATGTATGCTGAATTCTCTTTTTTTTTTTTAAAGGCAGATGTTATGTTTTATGATAGTGTAATACTACTTATATGTCACCCCTTTCTTGTTTGGAGCATGGCATCGTGTGGAACAGCACGGGCCAGTCTGCATAACCCCCAGCACAGAACTAGGATCAGCAATTCTGTACAGCTACTATGGAGAAATCAGCATTTTTGTGGAAATAGCAGGGCCGATACCATGGACTAAAATACAGACTGTCATGAGTGGCACAGGTTAGTGAGTAGCAGTTTGCCTGGCTTGTCTTATAAACTGTTTCCACAGAAAAAAAATCAACTGACGTTTTGGTAGTTGCAGCATTGTCTTCCCTATCTGTGATTTTGGCTGCAGCTAGATAGTGCTTGTTGAATACACATATATACTATAGGTTGTATATGTAATTGCTATCAGAACCAGTAGTCTTTTCCGCATTTAACTGGGAAGAATGTGTTTGCTTTTTTAACCAAGGGTTTATAGTAGAAATCAAAACATTTTTCTCTCACGAATTAATGTGTTAAGGCATCTAAAGCCAGCAGAACTGGATGCTTGCAGCCTTAAGGTGAAGGAAAGCAACAGATATTCATCCTTGCCAAAAATTCCAACCCTTACTTTGCAGTACTTTGACACTTTGAATCTTTGATTCTCTGAACTGTCAATATATGATTTATCAATTAAACAGCATTGGTTTTACAAGCAGAACCTGCCTGAACATGACATGAAGCCTTTTGAACAGAATGTATCACGTTCCATTTTGCCTGTTACTGGGTAAAAATTTAGAGTGGGTGGCTCTTCATGGGCACATCTCACTTCAGTTTGCAAGAGGGTTATCACCTTCCACTCCTATGCAGATTTTTAATGAAAAAAAGTAAAATAAAAAAATTCTTCACCCAAAAGTTTCCAATCCTTGCTACATACATTGCAGTTATAGTAACCTCAGCTAGCAATAAATGAGATGCAAGTGGTGAAGACAGGCCAGCTGCAACAGAGATAAAGTCAATGTATCTGCCATATAAAGGAAAAAAACATAAAAAAACCCCTCCAACAGGAACAACAGAACGAGGCAGCAGTGAAGTACACTGCTAAGAATACCTGGTTTTAAACAGTTCTGTGCCTAACTTGTCTTTCCTGTTGTTTGACTTAGTTGCCCCTCTCCTCCCCCTTTTCACTTCCTGAAAAAGAAAAAAAATTGCACTCTGACCAGCAGCAAGGGCTTTAGATTCAGTGCATCTTCACTGAGACTGCTCCGTCTCATTTGTCCCATTATTTGACATTGACTAATCAAACAGAGAGAGGATGCAAGTCCAAACTCTTCTACCTTGCAGATAAAAAGGGGAGAACTAAATGGTGAATGAAGCAAGTCCCAGAATGGCAACAGAGCAAAATCCTTACACACTGTGTTGCAGCCAGCCAGCTGGAGCCCTGCAGCAGGGGAACACAGGATGCTTGTTTGGCTCTCAAAGGTGCTCCCTTCCTTTCTGTACTGGAGCTTCCATGCCACCTGCGGGACCCACCTAACACTGCACTTCCATCAGAGAAGGAAGTGATGAGGAGAGGGAAGAAAGGCAGCTGCCAGCTTTGCCAAAAGCAGCTGAATAGCAATACATCTGGGTTATACACGATTTTATGACAGATAGATCATGCATACTTACTGACACAAGCCTAAAGAAGGCCTTAAAAAAACTGAAAGGGTCTCAGAAAAATTTATTTCCATAAATTAAAAACACACACGAAAGAAACAGTAAAATTTTAGATTCACACAATATTGAACAGAAACAAAATGCCAAGAGCATGATGAAGGCTAATGGCACAAGTGTACAAATTCTCATTGAGCTGTTCGTTAACTTGATAGCATCACACAGACCTTTAATCCACAGTTACCATCCACATTCTAGAAGAGCACCTGGAACATAATATACCAAAGGCTCACCTCAAATCAAACACAATAAATGAGAACTGCTTGCAGAAAATCACATCCAGCAAGCATCAGAACTCAAATGTATGCAGCCACAAGGCCAGCTGGGCAAATGCTGTAATATACATTAAGTAGCCTTAGCTGCTCCAGTCTTACTATGGTGAAAATAAGAGTTAGTTATTTATTTTTAAGTGATCTTTCTTCCTCCCATAATCAGCAAATTTTGCAAAGAGCTGCCTGGCTCTCCAAAACTTACTACTGAGAGACAGTACATGGCAAAAGCTTTGCAATTCGTCCCAAGCTGCTCTGGTCATCATTCTGTGAGCAATCTGTACAATGTCTTTCCATGATGATACAAAAATATTCCCATTGGAGTGGGTTCACTTCATGAAAAGGCAAGTGTACATACCCTTCAGCGAGGGAAGACCCCAAAAGATGCATTCTCTATACTTTTTTCTTTCAATTATCTGGGACAGAAGCAGCTCAGAGTGGGCAATACCTTGCTTTTGCACAGTCACTGCTCCCAGTGTACAAGCAGCAGCCACAAGGAACAAGGCTGTTCCATGAGTGCTATAAACAGGAAAGAGGAGGGAAAGGGAAAATGAGAAAGTGCACAAGCATGACTGACACCTGTATGCTAGAGGGAGGGAAGAGATGCTTTGTCTCCATTAACTTACATCTCTGTCATCATACAAATTCTAAACCAGAACAGAATAATGCTGTATATTTGTGTTTCCACAAACTAAGGTCTGGGACAAGCTAGGTAACTGCAACATCATTTTGTAACTCCTCCAATTATTGTAAACAAAAGAGAATGGAGTGTTTTCTTTGCTCTGCTCTCTCTGCTGTAGCTGTTAAAAGGAAAGCTAAGAAATGTCATTTCCAAGCAATCAGAAACAAGACAGAGCAGGGAAGCAAACAAACAAAAAAAAATCCCCCAAACCAAAAAACCCACAACCCAATGGAAAACCACAACATATTCCACATTTTGAAGCACATTTGCCTGGACCCAAGTTTCCTCACCCCCTCCTCACCTCCCATCCTTGTTTCCTTAAAAGCCCCAGTAATTCTGTCACAGCCCTCCCTTATTAACAGAAGGGGAGTGAATGCTGTGTAACAATCCCATTCTATAGCATGAACCCATAAAAATATATATCTCACTCTTGCTACATCTTCCAACCAGTCAATAATTGGGCTAATAACCACTATAGGGAAATTTTCAAACATTTTTTAAAAGGCAGTCGACCTTTATTTTTTAGGGATTTCTTTTTATAAAAATAAAGAAGATCAATTAAAATGTTCTCTAGCAGCCCAAACAGGTTAACCAGACCTTGCTGCTGAAATAGTATGTCAACATCTTCAAAATTTGCCCGCCTTGTTATTTTACCCTCAAAACCCAAACACTGCTACTTTGTGTACTCTTTTCTTTCTTTCAGTCTTCCTGATTAAAGAGAATTAGTCTCCAAAAGAAGAATGTAAACTCCTAGGAATCCTGGCACATAAACTGGGAGCAGAACAAGCCCAGATTACATTTCTTTCAAGACTCAGACACACACAGTGTAATAATCCTCTTCCATTTTTCTGCTTTCAAAGCTCTGGAATTCAACAGATCACTTGTTAATTCTTAGTTTTCTGTTTGGCCAGTAACAGAAGTGGCAGAGCAACAGAAGATAATGGTGGTATTTTCAGTCCTGCATTTATTGGGACGTTATTAAAAATACCCACCCACTAGATATTTGCTCATGTTGAAGGTAAATAGAAGCTCTATTATATGGGTAGGGAAATAAGAAAGTGCAAGTTTCAAGTGACAAGTGAAAGAAAGAACAGACTAATCAAATTTGAGCATCCCAGCAACGACAGCTTTGCCTGAATAACTTCTATAGGCACTAAAGGACATAAATTACCTGAACAGCAGCTAGCATTCATTTTGAATTATGCTTCAAGTAAGTTTAACAGAAGTTATCCCAGAAGGGAGCTCTCTTCCTGCAAAAGGGTAGAGCTGAGAAATTGCTGCATCAGATAATTACAAATGGCCTGACGTAATGAGAAAAAAAGAAAAGCTTTCCACATGCTTTGTACAACACTGGCTATTATGAACAACAGTGCTGTCTACAGAACATCTCATTTTGAGCTATGTGAATTGTAAATCTAAAATGGTAAAAACACCCCTCAAGATGGAAAAAAAATGTTCTCGTTGGCATTAAAATCAAGTTGATATTTATACTAGAATTAAAATAACTTAAAAATGAGTCTCAAAGATTTTGCTGGTGTTCCCTGCATACAGCAGCTCAGCTTAGTTAACTGAAAACCTCTACTTACGTATCCTGCAGCTTAACGTCCTTGTGGGCTAATTACCTTCTCCTCTGGAGAAGAGGTTGACATCAGCCAAGTAGTTAAAAACTCTACTATTTGGGAAAATTAGTACTGGGCACAATTTTTTCTTAAAATATTACCTTTTTTTGAGCTCAGTCATGTTAAAAGGTGTCCTCATGCAGCAAATAAAGAAATATATACAAAGTGCAAGTTATTTAACATCTAGTTATGTGGGACTTCTGGTGCCTGAAGCCAGGAAGGGCACAAACTCAGAAGGGACCTCCTAAGTAAACAGAAGGAAGAAACAACTGAAGCAAACCCAGACAGCTACTTTTAATTATTAAAAAGTTAGTGGTGTATCACGAATGTGTTTGCTAGAATGCATCTTTATCAAAGACCATCTCTCTTCTGTCAGGTTGTTCAAAACAGCCATTACAGTAACAACAGGAGACTCAAATGTGCAAATGATCTGGAGTACAGAGTTCTAGCATCACTGAAGGTGCACTACTTCCTCCTTTATACTCCTACTCTACCCCCAAAAAGGTCTTTAACATAATTAAACGCTAGCAGTAATTTCCAGTTGTTGGGGAAGGAACGGTAAATTGTATGTGGCTGTGTTACACTCAAACAGGGACCTAAAAGAATCTTCTAGCATCACTGAAGGTGCACTACTTCCTCCTTTATACTCCTACTCTACCCCCAAAAAGGTCTTTAACATAATTAAACGCTAGCAGTAATTTCCAGTTGTTGGGGAAGGAACGGTAAATTGTATGTGGCTGTGTTACACTCAAACAGGGACCTAAAAGAATCCCTCCAATAGCATAAAAAAAAAAAAAAAAATTAGCACCTTACAGAGAGCCACAGCCAAAAACTGATCATGAGATATTAGAGGAGACTGGTAGAGCGATGTATGAAGAAGTCAGTAGATTTCTCCCAATGGGACTAATATACTAGAGGAGCTGATTGGACCATCTTCAGCTAAATGGCTCCCTCAGATGCCAGAGGCCTGCTCCTCCTCTGCCTCCGTTGCAAAAAAAGCTTCAAGGTCCATTAGCTTCTGAATCAGAAGAGCATCTAACTCTGCACTCTGCAGCGCAGCTTTTTTTGCTCGGGTGAAACTACCCACTGCTTTGATTTTGCCTCGTGTCTTCCTTTTCCGGGGAAGAGTGAAGTCCTGAAACTCCAGAATCCGCTTCCTCTTCTGCTGGCTGACAGAGATCAAGCGTCCATTTTTCTCCTTGGGCTCTTCAAAGATTGTTTCCAAGCTCCTGGGAAAAGTAAAGAACAGGACTCATGAATGCTCAAGAAGCAGTTAAGGACAGGGAGACTGGTGATTTCGTAGCACAAGTAAACACGCTTCCAACTTCTACATTTTTTGAGACCCTCCACAGCTCTTGTAATGTATAGTTATCCACAGCTCCCACCTCCTACAATTCCACATTCTTGCTAGCTAATTAATTTGTTATTGGTGCATAGACATTTGGGTTGAATCTCTTTCTATCTGTATTGCAGTTCAAAAGTACAATTATAGTCTTGATTTTCTAGAATAAATAGATTTGAACAGTAAAAAAAAGTAACAGTCTTGATAATACTGCTATACTTGAGGACAGGCAGTTATTCTTTGTATTTTAGAGAATATTTAGTTGCCTTTGAATTTTGAAAAAGTACTGTACTTGGATGGAGGCCGGAATGAATGAGTACATTAAAAAAATATACAAATCCATACTTAAACAGCTGCAAATTCTTAATTTATATTCTATTTCTCTACTTTCCATCCAAATAGTAAGTTACCATTTTTGAATTAACTTCCTCTACCACTTTAAACTAGAGCAATTTAAAAAAACCCAAACTTCTCTCCCTCTTTGCTTTCAGACACCTTAATCTTTTCACTCTCTCTGCTAAAGTAATTTACACTGATCTTAGTTTTCTCATGAGGAAGCAGAACCCACCTGGCTGGAGGAGGGGACTTATAATTCTTGTTTGTGTAAATTTCTTCTAAACTAAATTCTTTCTTCTTAAGCCTGAAAAAGTAATGAACAAATCAATCAAGAAAGAAGAATTTGGCAACCACTTCTCTTCACAACAAGCAGATTTACAAGAAACAAGTATGGTTTACGTTCTATGCTTAAACGCTAGCTAATTATGCTTTATCTTAAAATGTAGATTTAGATTCTAACTGGGGAGAGGGAGGAATGAAAAATGAAGTCATTAAGTACCTAATTTCATGCAGTGTTTTTATAAGCTCTGAGTCAAGATTTGCCATTTCTGCAGAAGTCAATGTTCCTTCCAGCATTCTATGATGGTTTGAAATAATGATGCTCAGAAGAAAAAAGGGAAATCCCTTCACAGGTCACTTTTTTGTGGAACCCAAGAAAAGACTTAAGAGTTTGGCAGATTAACATTTCATCCCTTAAGAACTACTTTAAAAGTCAGTTATTGATACTTAATTAGCAAGCTGATCTCTGAAGAAATGCATTCCCTTGTCAAAGCTGGCACTTCTAGTTTAAGACATACTAGATGACTGATTGGAAAAGCTTTATCAATATCTGGCACTGTGATTACTCACATTTACACTGAACTAGTGTTTCCCTAAGATGATAAACCACAAACAAAGAAGGGACTGTGAAGAACTCCAACATAACTTGCATCAACAACGTTTCTTAATGTATCACTTCATCTCACTGCATTGTGGAATGACGTATTTTAAATGTACGTTTATCAATATGAAGAGATTGTTTAGAAAATCATTCCATTGCAGCTTCGTTTTCCCCATTTTGCCTATACCCCAGTCAGCAGTTCATATCCAATAGTCCTTTATTTATCCTTTCTCACTTGAAAAAAGTTACGTTCAAAGACCAGTTTCTTTCTTCAGTCTTTTATAGAGTGGAGACAGCTCTGTCAATCTTTACTTATGAAGGAAGCAAACATCAGACATCACTCAACTGGGAGGGTACAAAATAGTGGTGGTAAGAGAGGCGTTTATTGAAATGATTTTGCAGGAAACGTGACCAACAGAAGGTAATATGAGCCCATTTAAAAGATCCCCCTCACCTTTTTGGTTTGGGTAGCCCCATTGGAGTCAGGTTAGGGTCTGGCTTAGGAACAGTTTTCCTGATTCGGATCTGTGAGACTTTCTTTGGCCTCTTTTCTGACTCAATCTTAAGAAAGAAAAAAGAAAAAGTTAAAAGGAAGGAAATAATGACCATGCTAGTCGAAAGAATTCCCTTTTATCTTGAGTATACATTATTTATAGAAAAAACATTCCTTTTCGTTTTGCCACCTTCCTTCTGCTTGAACACAAGAAAGCAGCAGCATGGACTAGGACTAATAACATGTTTTCTCTCCTCATTTTTAACAGTTACTAGGTAATATTCATCATCATCAGCTTCAAGTTTTGGGGAACCAAGAGCCTGAGATACCTAAAATCTAAAATAAACTCACTTTTTTCGGTTCTGTGTCATCTTGGGATCTAAGACAGGCTGGAACAGAAGCATCAGCTTCATCAAGAGCACAGATGTGGAGCTCTGGTGCTGGAAGCCTGGGGGGAGATGGCAAGGATTCTGGAAGTGCACAAGACTTTGGTAACGGAAGAGGGAATGAAGTTTCCAGACTGTAACAGAGCAAAAAGGGAACATACGTAGATTAGTACCCAATTTATGCTGCCACAGCATTTCATGCTCTCAGGTGATGTTCCTAAATTGCAATATGGGCACAAAAAGCAATGCAGTTCACAGAAATCACCCAAGTGGGCAAACTCTTTCTCTGGTACGTAAATACCACCAAAACCTGCCGCAGCTCGCACTGATACTGAAACAAACAAAACTGCCAGGGTATTTGAACATGAGATCTTAAAGCCACTCTTTCCCTTTTTGTATAGTTAAACAGGTTGCAGTTCTGATAGTGATTAATCCTCCTTTTTTTGCCAACAAATTTCTTTGACACGACTATTAATTTATTAATTTTTGTTTACAGATAAATTTAAAAGATGGCTTTTATATCTGCCATCCCAACACTGAAAAGAACAGAAGGAAGTTTCAGCACCTAACGTCCAGTTGCTCAGACAGAAAGTACATATATCCAAGTAAGGAAACTAACTTCTATAGTTTCACGTATTCATTTCATAAGAAGTGACACAACAGGGTTGAAGGTAACAGAGTTGTTCTGTTTATGTTCTATATGGTGTTTGCATTAACACCCCTCCAGACCTCTCCACTACATGATCCAGTCAGTTTAGTTTCCTAACATTTTAATCAGAAAGCTATTCTTCATGTGAACTGCCAAAAGCTGAAAGCCAAAATGTCATAAGCAACGTCTTTCTGAGAAAGCTTGTGCTCCCACTACTCAGAATAAATGTCAAAGTCCAAGTGACTCACCGTATCTCACGACCTGCAGCCTGTAGTGCTTCCATACTCTGTACAGGTAAGTGCGGTAACACGGCATAGCTGGGTCAAAACAACAAGGAAAAAGGAAAAAAAAAAAAAAAAAGACAGACAGAAATTAGGTCTACATGATAAAAAACATGAGGGAAAAATTATTAGTATGAACTGAACTGTAAGACAAAAAATGCTAATATCAGGAATGAGAATGAAGACTAAAACAATACAAGAACAAGCCACATCTGCCATTTAGTCCACTAAATTTCACTGACAGCTTGTTAGGGAAATAGTCTTACTTTCACTTAAAAATGGTAGTGATGAGAAAAGGAAATAAAAGCAGAGAAACAAAGGGAGAGTGTATTAGTCTGAAAGTTGTAATTATTTCTATGAAACCCTACATTCCTCATTCAAAAGCCCTAGTTTTTAAAATTAAAGTAACCAAAAACCTTGAAGGATTTGGCTACTAAATAAAAAAAAGTGCACAGTGGCAACAATAACAAGTGAAATGAAGGATCTGCATAAGATTAATTCCCTGTTGTCTCTAACTCCCACAATCTTATTTGAATATTCTTAATGGATTGGAATAACCAAAGGCCTTTCCATAAGGGTTGGTAATTACCATAATTCTATGGCATAAAAATCAACACAGCAATTCAAAGTCTTTTAATATTAAGCTTTATTTTTGTGCCCACACTATTAATAGCAGGAAAAAAAAATAATCAGTTGGGACAGCTTTTATTACATTAAATGGCAATTTTTCTATTTGCTGTCCTCCCAAGCGAACAGCTAAATGCACTTCACTGTTCTAAAGCAAAGAATTTACAGCCAGACTGGAATATTACAAAATAAATGAAAACCAACCGTTCTGGCAGCACAGATAAGACCAAATATAAGAAGGTCAGAAAGACCTGTTTCTTGTGTTCATCGTTTAATATCACAACTATAACATTTTGTTTCTCTCAATATTCCACTCACTATCCCAACTCTACTGCAACAGGCATCAATAGTGTGTCAGAGTCATCTGTGCCAGAGGCAGACTGTGCTGCTTTATGCAATAATAATAAATTACAGGGAGAGGAAAAAATCCCCACCACTTTAGAAATTTTGAATCCCAATAAGCATTAATTAGAAAAAAGATTTCACTTAAAGAATGCTTTATTACTACCAGTGGAAGTGACAGAAGATTTTTAGACAGGAGAACTACTCTAGTTCCTTGTTTTCCTGGTTACTAAAAACATGAAAAATGAATGAAATTATTTAAAGAGGAAAGATCTCTTCCAGAAGAAAAAGGCCCTGCAGAGAACTTGGAGCCACTTTTTAATTTTTCTGATTCTTAACTGTCTTAATCAAAACAGGCAAAGACTCTTGTCACACTGGGAGGTGAAAATGCTTTTATACTGCACCAAACATACTTCTTCTATTCTTGTATTTATATACCAAACATTTATTTCATAGGGGATTTTATTTTTGTGTACACAGAAATTCACAAAAGATCTACTAAATTATCCTTTTGTCCCTATTCCTGTTAATACCTTTAAAAAAAGAAGAATGATTAGTTGATGACAACAGGCTATCAATCTTCCGCAAAATAAAACCTAACATGGTGTTATATATCTAAAATGTTAGGTTTTGTTCTTTACATTGTTTTATAGCCAAACCTTTAATACCAATTTTTTACTTAACTGTTTTAGGAATAGAATTTATTTGCTGCACTTTAAACTTCTGCAAACATTCTCTTTAACTCACTGCATGCTACAATAACTTCACTTTAAAAGAAAATCTGAGTGAGGCAGAAGAATTAAGGCTACCCCGCACACATATTTGTGAGATATTGTTTTATAGCCAAACCTTTAATACCAATTTTTACTTAACTGTTTTAGGAATAGAATTTATTTGCTGCACTTTAAACTTCTGCAAACATTCTCTTTAACTCACTGCATGCTACAATAACTTCACTTTAAAAGAAAATCTGAGTGGGGCAGAAGACTTAAGGCTACCCCACACACATATTTGTGAGATATTTTAGAGAACAAACAAACTGAGTTTTACACTATTTTAACTTGGGGTTATTTTTCACTTGAAGTGATAAGGTTTGATTTGGCTTCTCTCCCCTTGGGATAAAGATCATTCATAGCAAAACGTTTGGTTTTCAAATTACCCTTTACATCAAGGAATTAAATCCTCTCATACTGTAGCTAACGGGATACGCTGTAACAAGCTGCCCAGGACTCTACAGACTTATGGATGGGAGAAAAGAGAGTAAAGTCAGCTCTGATCTCCCAGTCCCAGGATAACATGCCTCAACAATACAAATTAATAAATTCACCTCATACACAGAACTAAGCTTTAAAAAGGTGCTTGTTTTGTTTTTAAAGAATGTAATTTACTGGCATGATTATTTCCAGAGTACTAATTTGTACACTAGAAAATTCAGCCTGATATACTGAACGAAAAGGACTGCAGGTCCAATAGAACGTGCTGCAAAATCGTCTTTATGGCGTTATTCAACTTTGTTCTTTTAGTGCAGACAACTCCCAGAATGGAGTAGTACTTATAAGCTCACTCACAACTTTTGTAGACATTAGGATTTATAGTAATAAGTGATACGATTAAACTTAATATGCTTAAACACATCTAAAAGATGTGTTACCCAATTATACAAAGCAAAATGCAGCATTAGTTATGTGGCAAGGTTTTTGGTTATACATATGTCAAGCTATGACTTAAGATAAGCCAAATTCAACAGTTCTCTAAAGACTGCCACATTAAACTAAAGAATTAGCCAAATCTTCTTTTCTACAGTGCTCCTGAGCCTATATGCTGTCCAGGAATCTCACGACTATAAAATCAGGGACTGAACTGCCCCATGTCACTGAGGCATACAGGACAAAATCTTTGCTCAAGAGCATGCAAAAATTCTTCAACACAGCTAGGAATCTCTTCTCTTATTCTGTTTCTTAGGGAAAAGATCTCAAAGCCCTGTAGCAAAGTTAAATTAAATATGCAGAGTAAATTTCAGTCCTCTTCCCACTCATAATGAGAATGACACACACAAAAAATCATTACCAACCTGAACTGGAGCTAAATCCTTGCTTGTGCCAACAATACATGGGGCACATACTATCAAAAGGCACAGGATACATAAAGAGGTTTCAATTAGCACAGAACAGTCATGGAATACAGTTAAAAATGTAAGCGAATGCCACCCTCCACCCCTTCGGATTCTATCTCATCTGATATTGAGCATTTTGCAGTGGTTCCAAGTGGCACTTGTGGCTCAGACCTCTGAAAAAAACTTTCCTACCTCAGAAATCCAGTTGCTCTGCAGTCACTCTGAATAGACCTAATGAAGTAGCTCACCTTTCTGCATTATATATTCTGATGCATGGTGTGTATATTTTGCAAGGGAGAAGAAAATAGAGTTAGCCATTCTGCCAAAACAGGATAGTATTAAAGAAGTGAAGGCAAGTATATATAAATTCAGCTAACAGACTGTTCCGTAGGAAAGAATCTTCCACGTTGAGCCATTTTTGGAGCAGAATGTGTAGATTTGGAGCAGGGGAAACTGACCCTCCAACGCAAGCTGCAATTACCCTCTCCCTCCCAAAAAGGAGCAAGTACATACCCTATACATATTTAATCTCAGAAATAAGTTGATGGGTTTTACCTGTTCTCGATGCCCACACTTGGCTGCCACTTGCAGTGACTGGAATGGAGAGGAGTGATTTCGGAGGGACGGGCAGAAGGACCGTGCTGACTCCATATGGATAGGACCCTGCCCAATGAGTATGGCAATGAAGAGACGAGGTCATCGGATACAGAAGTTGGGTACCTTGCCCCTTTCAAACCCTGTGCGAATTGCGATATAAATAGTCTCTGGATGGTAGGAATATGACTGGTTAAGTTTCTTCTTCTCGTCCAAATCCTGTAACATCCAGGGGAGGAAAGTGCTAACACTGTGTGAAGGCCAAGCATAGAGCAACGTCCTCTTCTTTCCGCTACGGCATTTCTTCTACGGTCCCGGCGAAGGGCAACAGTCCTTGGGCTTGTTACAGAGAGAGAGGAACGCAGCTCGTTAGCTAGACTGGAACCTTCCTTGTAAACTGTTGTATCTGACCAGCTCTGAGACAGGAGAAAAGAGAAAGTCCACTCTGAAGGAGGCGCTGACATTTCTCCCCAAACGGGTCCGTGCTGTACAGAGTGCTGCGATGTAATCCCTGTGCGGTCTGTCACGGGACTGGAGTCCAATTTGATGTGAAAAGAAATTGGGAAAACCGGGGTTTCCAAGAAAGAGGTCGGAGGCTTGTGGCTCAAGTCTGAAAAGAGTATTTTGGTAGATTCTACAGGATAAAGTGCCAAAGGCTGAAAGCTGAACATCTTGGTGCACCAACTGTCAGCCCAGCGTGAGTGTACGCTCCTGTTAATGCAGGAAAAGGCTTCCAATAGATTTTTAGATCTACGTTGGCTGTACCTCTCGGCCACTGGAAGAATTTCAGAAGAATACGGCTGAGGTTTTAAGTTCTGGATGCTCTGGGCAGGCGCCAGGAGTTTGCTGGCCATTGCAGACAGCTTGCCCAACAATGCTGGCTCTTTGGTACATTTTCTAAATTTCAAGCTGTTCAACAAACTGCACCTCTTGGCCCTCTGCCTTGGCATACGCACACATCGCATGGCTGTTTCCGTTTCCATTGTCGGTGGGCTACATGGAGAGCACAAAGATTTGAGAAGTGTGTTTTCCTGCTTAGGGAATATTTCTGGGGGAATCTCAGAAATAGGTGAACTTCTAATTTTTTTGCTTTTTCTTATGCTTTTTAGCTGATACGATGTGGGAACTTTTTTGCATGTCCTTCCAGGCTGTCTTTTTAATGGAAGAGGTCCTCTTAGTTTATTTGTAGTTTCAAAGGCACCAGGGATTCCATCGTACCCTAAATTAAGGTTCAGGTTTTCCATTTCTGAATCCTGAGTCTTCAAAAACTGTGAACTAATAATATCTGTGGTAATCTTTGGCCTTTTGACTTCTTCTAAAGTGCTACATAGTTGATTTTCACTGTTTCTGACAGCAAAAATCTCCTCGGAGGGACCGTCAAATTTCATATTTCTTGTCACCGACTCATGTGAAGAGCTGCGTAAGAGTTCAGATCCGTGCAACATACTTGGTTGCAGTGTGATTTTTGCTTTCTCTTGATATTGTGACTTCTGGTTTTTTTGTTGTGCCTTGTCCGACAGACGTATTCCCATCTTCTCATGCTTCTTTTGTTTAAGCACCTGACATTTCTGTATTTGATCAAGTCTCTCTGAACCCGAAGCTTCATTTTCCTTGCAGCCTGAACGAGTTGTTACAGTGTCCTGGCCTTCGGCAACCTCCTTTACGTTATCTTTGCTCTGTGCATGTAATTTGTAAGGCACACAAGCTTCACTGCAAACCACACAGTTTGGGGATGATTCTTTGCAACTGTTTGAGAACATACTTGTACATGCATAAATCGTGGGTGTTGTATTATACTGCAATTTTGGTGAAGCCTCTGCATCAGACGCGTCTTCAGCTTGACAATCACGCACAGCATCTGAAAGCAGACTGGTACCTGCTAAGTTTCCGAGCTCTGTAGCATTTCCCCTTTCTTTTAAAAGATTATTTAGGTCAGCTCTTGGGATTTCTTCCAAAACCTCAGTATCAAGAGGGACTATTTTGCTACCAGACTCTTTTGAATCTTCTAACAAGGCCTGTAGACAATCATCTTCTCCATCAAGAAAAGAATTTATGGGCATCTTTCTAGAAGCTACTTCTCCTTTTGAATCTTCTAACAAGGCCTGTAGACAATCATCTTCTCCATCAAGAAAAGAATTTATGGGCAACTTCTTTCTAGAAGCTACTTCTCTTCCCATCTTCTCTTCTACAGATGTGTCCTTAAACTTCTCTCCACAGTGAGCACTTTTTGGTGAGGTGACATTCATGTCTTTTACAGTTAGCATGCTGTGCCCCTCCTCTCTCAGACTTTCTTTGCTGGGTGCACAAACTCTTGAGCTTTTTGCACCTGTCAGAAAGCTAGTTTTTGTTTCATTCTCTGAAGATGGAATCTCAATATTGCTGCCTTTTCTTTTAACAGACGTTGGTACAGAAAGTTTTGTCACTGAAGAATCTTTGCTAAAAACTTTGGCTGAAGACGAATCACAATTATTCCTTTGTGTATTCTCAGATGACATCCACAGCTCTTCTTTCTCAGGCAGAGTGATTCCCAGGCTCAGAGCTGACGGTCTTTCTGAATCTGCCTGAGTCTCATTAAAAGATTCTTGGATGTCAAACTTTCCAAAACAGGATGGACCTATATGCTTTTGAGCTTCAGTTTCTTTACCAGGCTCAAATGTTAACTGTGGGCAAGAGTTATTTAAGATAGAACTTCCTCTCAGACTTTTTTTGGTTTCTGTCTCTGAAAGCACATTCATATTTTCTGGCTTGTAGGACAGACTCCCATGGACTGATGAGAAAGGCAAAAATTGGGTACTAACTGTATTTTCCTGGTCCTCCACCAACCATTTGATCTTTGGCAAAGATGGCTGCATTCTGTTTCCTGCAAACAATAGCTCTGCACTCCCTTTTGCACATTTGATAGAGCAGGTGTGCTGTGAGGAATGCGATTTGCTATCAGAAAAGCTTTCTTCAAGAGTTCCTTTATCTTCTCTTTCACATCCATTCTTGTGTTCTTTTAGTTCGACTGTTTTCTTCTCAATCAGATCACTGGTAAAGCCCATATACCCTGAACAGTCTTCATTTCTCACACCATTTAAAGAGTCCAAGTCCACTACATTCTCTTTTAGAGTTCCTTGAAAAGTGTCTTTTGCATATTTATGAACTAACAGAGGCAGGTCACCACCTGTTTTTATCAGTATCTCTTCACTTTGACGAGAGCCAATTGATATTTTAGTTTCTTCCCCAGAAGTAGCCATAGTTTGTAATACAGTGTCTGCTTGATTGTTTAAACTTTCTAAATGATGTTTGTTGCCTGTAACTGGGCCCTCAAACTCACTCTGAGATGCAAGACACTGATTTTCCATTGGATGAAGGGTCTTTTCTGTTTGGGCAGCACGTTGTGTTTGAATATTTGTCTTGCTGAATAAGGGACACGTACCAGTGGCTGAAACACTACACTCAGAGGGATTAGCTGCAAGTGATGACACTTGTTTCTTCTTATATGTGTCTAGTTCTCTCCTTGGGCATAATGAGGAGTTGCAAAATCCAAAGTTATGAACACAGGTTTCTTTCTTCAAATATCTGACTAAGAGCCGTTCATTACTCTTATTTCTGTGATTGCCTTCAGGAGCCTTTGAGGAATCCACAGTTCTTATTTTATCAAATCCATCTGCCTGGAGAGCACACATGCCCGTTTGATCTTTTGCCTCATCTCTGTCACAAACAATTTCACTGCCATCTGTAACTTTACAAAGATCAAATTGTTTCACAACCTCCATGTTCTTATTTGAAATCTCATCTCTTACCAAGGTAGCAGTAGCTTTCTCTGCAGTATGAGCTGAACAAAACATGCTTTTTGCTGTGACAATGTCATTTACCCCATGCAGATCTACACCTCTGTTGCCCCCCTCGCCTTCACAAGGAAGAGATCCACATGCCAAAGGGGAGCATACTTCTGGAAATATGATCACCTTTTTACTGTTATATCCAACTGAAGTTTCTCCTTCCAAATTATCATTTTCCTCAATCTTCTCATCAACCTCAACGTTAAAAGTATGACTGTTCAGGAGAACATCATCTACACGTGTACTCCCTGATAAAACACAGGAAGCACTGGCAGCTGTACACTCCTCTTTGATACTCTGATTATTACAATTCCATGTGTCACCATGTTCATTTACTGAAGCAGTGACCACATTCTCTGTATTTCCCACTGAAGACTTCATGTTCTTTTGGGAAATTTTGCTTGTCATCTTAGGGTCATCAGAAGTCCTGGAACATAGTGAAGACTTGAAATTGTCTTTATGAAGCACAATTTCAGTGACTTGTTCCTGTGTTGTTCCAGAAGCACCAATTGATTCTTTTCCAGATAGATTATTCCGAGCCTTGTCCCTGCTTGAAACTTCATTAACAGTACAAGGACACTCATTATGATGAGGTTCTCTTGATTTTTGTGCAACAGGAGGTAGACATACATTTAGTGTATAAATCAAACTAGTTTCTTTGCCACCAGACAAACTGTCATTACTGTTATGTTCTGTAGCTTCAACTAAACTGCCAGCCAACTCTTCTGATGTTGTTTTACTCTCAGATTCCTTTTCGAGCAGTTGTGCTTCAGGTGAACCTTTTTCTAGCTTGGTGCTAAGATCCATACAGCTGTAGCTACTGGGAGGAGAAATTTTGCTGGAGGTATTACAAAAGCATGTGTCTGTCTGTCCCATTTCATGGGAAGCGGGGTTGCTCGTTTCCATAAACAGGCTATTTTCTTTTATGTTGTCCTTGCATATATCACCGACAGGGAATTGCCACTGGTCCTTTTCCAACTTATCACCTTCTGACAGGACCATTTTTAATTTTTCTTTTGAGAGCTCCTCAGGAGATGAAGCAACAGAACTAAAAACTGAAGAATGACAATGCTCAGAATTAGCACCCTCTTGAGCTTCAGGCCAGCTCCCAACTTCAACGTTATCTCCCACGGCAATTTTTCTCCGGACTTCAGCAGCCTCTTCAAATCCAGAGCTGTGTGATTTACCCATCCTAGCGCTTACTTCCCTGGGATCAACTTTAGCACTAGATAATTCTTCTCTCCTTACCACTGAGACCTGCTCTACTGCTACGGACGAGGAGGTTGGATTTTCTACAAACCCAGTTCCATGACCATAGTGAGTCTGACTTTCGGTGTTTTGGGGAAGATACTTTTTGGGGGTTTCATTGATAAATCCATGGACTGCAGTACTATTGTTTTCTAGTGGCATATTTCTAAAGTCCAGGTAACGGATGCTTTTCAGAACCGAACATAAAGCTTCAGAACTTTTTGTGGAGAGTGTTCCACAGCTTTCTACTGATGACAACCTATGAGGTTCATTATCCTGTTTAGGTACAGGACCAGTACAGAAGTCATAAGTATTGTTTTCTTCATCCTGCTGACAAGACTGCCAATCAGCAAGTGATGTTCTGAATTCATTAACAGGATTTCGTCTGGGTAACTTTTCTTCTCTAGTCTCCAAAATAGAGACAATATTACCCCCTGTTCTCAATGGCATGGCAGTACCAGCTTTCAACCCATTATATTCATTTGTTTCTTGTGGATGCTCTGTGGCTGATTCAACGTCCATGACTTTTAAAGGCTCTAAAAAATCTAATGTGCTGGTTTCTGAAACGCCAGCTCTGGCCATGACTGTGTCTACGTCTGGGCATTCATTGCTCTCAGGTGGAAGACCTTTACTCACTCCGTCACTCCTGTATCCTGCTTTACTAAACATCTTAGTCCCATCAGCCTTCATACCTTGTACTTCTTCAGTGAGCTTTGGCAGAGTTTCAGCTGTCACCTGAACACGGTTTTCTTCCGCATAAGAAAAAATAAAGCAAGTCAGAACCATATACTAAATTCAGAAGGCATTCAGATTACCAAGTTTCTTTTAGTATTGCACACAATATTGTGTACAGTGTTGGTTAACAAAACCATTTTTAAGATTGGGAACTGATGCTAGCAATTCTACTACAAGCCTTTAGAAGAAAAAGACAAACTACCCACCACAAACCTAATGAAACAAATGCAATCCTCTTCAACAGAGACATTCCCCAGCAGCAGCAGGCACCCAAAGACCTGTATTTTTCAGATTCCCCTAATACTGAGCTAGGTGGGATGCAGGTACCATAACTCAATATGAAGTCATGGCCAACATGATAATGCTTATTTGCAACATCAAAGCTTAACACAGCCAGGTACTTTATCTGGTCCATCCTAGAAATAAGGCTGTGCATCGAGCAGCCATTTCCATCTCTTCTGCCTTGAAGGCATTTTTGTCAGTCCATCACCCGTAGGAAGATAATGCATATCTCATTCTCTCCAAGCAATTATGATTACTTTTTTGTAAGTTTGTAAAATTACAGTTACTGTTAGAATATCTTCATATTCAAAACTTTACAAGGAACACATTTGTGCAGACTTCTGCAGATCTTTTTTGTGTTTTCTTCTAAGGACCAAGGCTAAACGGCATTCCTCAACTACATACAAGTTTTGGTTATGAGAGCATGGAGGGAAAAAGAAAATAATTACTAGGCAAAGTGACCAAAGTATTTGGAGCTAGAAGCTTACAGATTATAAGAAAATTAAGAGTTAATTTTGTTGTCCTCTGCCTTTGGATTCTGCACTTTTATTTTTATTTTTTAAAACATTAGCAAGTGAATGAGTCATACTTTTCCACATCTTTGCTATTACTGCTCTCATATAATCCAGCTTTGAAACATAAGGAAATGCAAAATATCTGCTATTAATGACACCTTCTGCTTTGGGGTAAATAAGTATTTGAATTAAATAAGTACAACACGTCTTATACATAAAAGGTCTTCAGGAAAGTACCCACACTGTCAGGAGAAAGCAGAGGACTAAGTTTTCGTATTGCTCTAGCTCTGCAGGGTAATAGTTTCTACTGTAAAGCAAAATAAATGAGCTGTCCTACACTTGTTCATCGATTTTACATCGACAGAAAGTAACCTGGGAGAGAAGCAGAGGATGTACAACTGAAATATGCACCTGTGCTCTTCAGAGATCCCACTGTTTCAGTGCAACAGGTTCTCCAGGGCTTCACCTCAGGCGGGTCCAAGTGAGGGTCCTCCTGAAACAAGACCAAAGCATCAATGGAGATTGATGGATTTTCTGACGCGTTTAGCACGTTTCAGGGACTGCACCTGCTCAGCCAGCTTAGTTCTGAGTAAGAAAACCACCAAGAAACCTCAGAAATAACAATGCATTCAGCAAACATTTGTTTTTAGCAGCAATGAAGTCTCGCCACACAAGCAGCTGAAACTTAAGTGGTTTAAAATCCAAACAGTCACAAATTTGAATGAGAAGAGTAATCCAGTCTCCAAGCCTATCTCACATCCCCACACCACTACTGTACACCTCTGGTAAGATACACACTGCTTCTCATCTTTATTAGAACCTGCCTTCTACCCCTCCTTCCCTTGGCTCAAAAACAAACCCTGGAATCAATGGCCTAGGTCTACTTGCAAAAAAACCTCAAACCAAACCAAAACCCCACAACCAAACTACCCACATTTTGAAATATGTGAAAATTCCTCTTGGACAATGAATGGCTATGGAAAATTTAGTGAATTTTATTTTCACAAACATTCAAATAAATCAAACAGATATCAAAATCCAGAGGGAAAACATCAAAGTATTTTAGTATTATGCAACATCCAGTAATTAATGTAAAATAGGCACCTATGCACCTTATCCAGATATTTCCTGGCTGGTGTGCATTCTGTCACAATACTGGTTTTCTCCCCTATGTTCTCTGTGTGTGTGAAAAGTATTTACAAACTAAAGAAAACTGACCAAGAAAGTCATTAAAAATCTCATTTTTTAAATAGGTAGTTTTGAGACCCTTTAGCTTTTAATAGAGTATTTTTTGGTACATTTTTCAGCAATCCTTTGCCTAGAAATAACATTTTTATCATGTTTGCTAGAGGGGAGAAAAAAAGCAAAGCCATGACCATGCGAGTCTCCTGTTTTGAAAGGGGAAACTAACAGTGATGTCCTCACTGATTACAAAAATAATCATAAAAAAAAATAATAATCTTTTGGTTTTAGATTAAAAACTGAAATACTAAATTGGGAGCTCTCTGTAGCATTTTAATACTATTACCAGACCGAAATAGCTATTATTTAGTGGTGAGTACCTTGACTGGGGATGATGGTACCAGCAGAACATGCTGCCCCCCCAAAATACAGATAGTGGTCGAGGAGATTTTTAAGTTCTTTCTCTTCTTTTTCAGTCACCTGCCAGTTTTGTTCTTTGCTGTGTATCACACCTGCCTCACACCATTCCAACAGTATTCAAGAAAGTGAAAAGCTTGATATTTTAAGATACTATTGGTCTACTGCAGCACAGTCTAATTTGTCACTGGAGCCACGATAATCCCAATAACGAGACACGTCAGAAGACAGGAATAAGAAACAGAAAAACACATGGACAAAGCCCTCTGCCTGGTCACTATAACCCTAAACCCAAAATACCACCCAGGCATGAATTTTGGGATTTCCTTACTTGTTTTGACCAACTTTCCCCAGGAGCTAAAGCACAGCATTCAGCACGATGCTCCTCAGCATCTTCTGCCGCCTCCTCTTCTTTCCGGTACCCATCACCACAACAGTCTAGTTTCCTAAAGTGGCTTTTCTTGTTTTGTTCATCCTCTTCAAGGCCTCCAGCCTCTACTGATTCTTCAGGAGGGGGTTCTGTGGGCCCCTGAGAAGTCACCGTGAGCACATCACCCAAATCCTCTCTCTCCTGGCAGAAGTTCTCCACTCCCGTGGTGCCCCGCAGCCGGTCGCTGTGTGTGAGCGCAGGCCTCGCTCCCTCGGACGCCGCATCCAATCCCCCCCTGGGCTCTGCTACAGCCATGTGTCCTGTGGAGCTGCTCCCCGGCAGGTACAGCCCCTCCAGGGCGGTGGGCACGGAGGAATGGAGGAGAGGTTCCACCCCAGATGACAGCATCGGGGCAGCTGAGCATCCGTCCTCCTGGGCTTTTCGCAGTTTACCTTAAAAATAAAAGCAACATTAAATCGACGTACGTAGGAGCGACCTCTAGATTAAAAGAGAAGCTTCGTTCTTCAAGATTCAAGCATCTATGTTTATGAAAAGTACGGAATCATGAATTGTTGGAGTTGGAAAAAGGTTCCACCCCAGATGACAGCATCGGGGCAGCTGAGCATCCGTCCTCCTGGGCTTTTCGCAGTTTACCTTAAAAATAAAAGCAACATTAAATCGACGTACGTAGGAGCGACCTCTAGATTAAAAGAGAAGCTTCGTTCTTCAAGATTCAAGCATCTATGTTTAGGAAAAGTACGGAATCATGAATTGTTGGAGTTGGAAGAGACCTTCTAGAGATCATCTAGTCCAACTCCCCTGCCAAAGTTGCCCAGAGCACATCACTCAGGAGCATCCAGGTGGGGCTTGAAGATCTCCAGAGAAGGGGACTCCACACCCTCCCTGGGCAGCCTGTTCCTGGGCTCTGACACCCTCACTGGAAAGTTCTTCCTTATATTTGAATGGAACTTCCCATGTTCCAGCTTGTGCCTGTTGCCCCTCGTCCTGTCACTGGGAAACACTGACAAGAGTCCGGCTCCATCCCCCCTCAAACTCATCAGCATTAATAAGGTCTCCCCTCAGCCTTCTCTTCTCCAGACTGAAGAGTCCCAGCTCTCTCAGCCTTTCCTCATCAGGGAGATGCTCCGATCCCTTAATCATCTTTGCTGCCCTAAAAAACATAGATATTAAACTGATAAGAACAGTTACTACACTTGATCTTCAAAAGGCCGAGAAGCAATATTTCCAAACAGCTTTTTAAGACAGGAGGGGGGAGCATTCCAGTCTCTGCGCCAAGGCTCCGTTAAGGAGAGCGGGGAGTCAGGAGCGAGGCCGTTCCCCAGCCCCACCGTCGCCTCTCCCACACCTCCAGAGCCTGCCACGCAAACCAGACACCCTGCTCCTTCGCTAGAACTGATGCCTCGCTGCTCTTCCTGAGATTTTCTTACATTTCTGATCTTTGGTGGAAAAAGAAAAAAAAAATATAAAAATAATCGACCAACTTTCCTCCCCTCGTTTTCCGCCTGGAAGGAAGGCTTTCCAGGACATCCTCCATCACGCTCCCTGCCTCACAGCTTCTCCCACACAGGCCCTGGACCCAGCGCCGCCTTCCCCGCTCATCCCGGCCCCCGGGACCCTCCTCAGCCCGGTGCCCCGGCAGCCGGTTTTGGAGCAGGAGAGGAGCTCCCACCGACCCGGCACCGGCGGAGCCAAACCCCTGCCGCGCCCTTCTCCTTCGTCCCAGGCACCGACCCCCGGCCGGAGGCGAGACCCGCTACGCCCGAGGAGGCCGCCGCTCTCGGTAATTATGCAACCGCGCCGGTGCCTCCCCCGGTGCCGGCTCGGCCGCGCCGCCCCCGGGTCGGGCAGTCCCGTCCTCACGCCTGGCAGCGACTCGCCCCGGGGCGCCGCTGCTCACTCCCCACCGGCGGCGGGAGAGGCGCGCCCACACCGGAGACACCCCTTCT